TGCGGCCCTGCCCTGGGGGGGGGGGGGGGGCCCAAAGCCCCTGCTCATTTCCCGGGGTCACTTTTGTCAGGCCTTGTACGGGCTGGGCACTGCCATAGCCTCTGCCCTCGGTGGGAGCAAAATCGGCCCCGCTTGTGGAGGGGGAAGGTCACCTCACACGCCCAAGGTCCCTCAGCTGGAACGGGCAGAGCTGTAATGCAAGCCCAGGCCTGGCTGGTTCCAAGATCCGTCCTTGTTCCCTGGTGTCACCCCGATTTCACCCCACAGCACACTTGGCCTCACCGGCCACCAAGGCCTCTGGGCGAGTGGCCGAAAGAATTAATAGAATGAGAAGCACATCATCCTCCAAAACCAAGATCCACACACAGGTGTCTGGTTGGCCTTTCCACAAGTTCTCTAAAGCTCTAGCCACCCCAGCTTGGCAGGCCGCGTCGAGGAGCTTTCCTGTAGGTGTGGTGCAGGGTTCAGGCATAAAGGCGGCGTCTCTGCTGGGCCTGCTTTCCTGGGCTTTTTTTTTCTTTTCTTTTTTTTTTTTTTTATTTTTTTGGCCATACCACATGGCTTGCGGGATCTTAGTGCCCCGACCAGGGATCAAACCTGAGTCCACAGCAGTGAAAGCACCGAGTCTTAACCACTGGACCGCCAGGGAATTCCCCCGGCCCACGGGTTCTTAGGGATTTACCCACGTTTCTCTGTGTCTCCAGCCCTCATCTCCTCACGTGCTCTGAGACCTTTCCTCGGGATGAGCGGCTTTCCCAGAACATACGTGTGTAAAGCCAGGCCCTCGTGCTCCCCTTTTTTTTTTCTTTTTTTTTTTTTTTTTTTTATTTTTTTGGCCATACCACATGGCTTGCGGGATCTTAGTGCCCCGACCAGGGATCAAACCTGAGTCCACAGCAGTGAAAGCACCGAGTCTTAACCACTGGACCGCCAGGGAATTCCCCCGGCCCACGGGTTCTTAGGGATTTACCCACGTTTCTCTGTGTCTCCAGCCCTCATCTCCTCACGTGCTCTGAGACCTTTCCTCGGGATGAGCGGCTTTCCCAGAACATACGTGTGTAAAGCCAGGCCCTCGTGCTCCCCTAGGGCACGCTCCCAGCCTCGCCTCCGCTCGCCTACCTGCGGCCCATCCCTCTCTCGGGCGAGTCCTGGGAAGGCCTGGTGCTCCACCTGCTCTGACAGAGCCAGCACGAGGGCCTCCACGCTCGGGCTGCGTCTGGGAGTCGGGGGCGAAGTCACGGCCTAGTTGCTGATCCACCATCATATCATGGTTAGCCTCATGGCTTTTTGGTCTCTTTCCTCTTTGCAACTTATAAACACCACCCATGACAAGTCTGAAAGGGCATCCTGAGGCCCCACCATTTTTCCGAGGGATCTGTTTGCTTTGGTTTACTTCATTTTTTCATTCATTCAGCAAGTACGACAGCACCTGCCCTGTATGTAGGCACGAGGGATACAGCAGCTGATGTTCTAGCTGTGCCGCAGGTGGGGTGGTGACAGATGCTCTGGACAAAACCCAGAAGGGACAGGAGATTGATGGGGAGTTGTGGCTGGATAGCTGTCGAGTCTTCTCTACTCCAGGAGGCAACACAAGGTGGAAGTTCCACCTTTGGAACCAGATCCTGGCTGTAGCTTTGGGGCCCTGGGCAAGTTGTTCAGCCTTTCTGAGCTTCAAGAAATAACAGCAGCTACCTCCCGGGGTTCTGAGGGGTTGGAAAGTCATGTTTGCAGAGTGCCTGCCCAGGCGGGGTCCAGTGGGCACGGCAGTGGCAACGACAGTCAGCTGGGCAGATCCTGTCGGGTCCTGTTCCTGACAGAGCGAGGGGCCTGGCTTCCAGAGGTCTCTGTCCCACGGAAGCACGTGTGGTTGGACCTTGCACCCTCCTCGATAGCCTCTTCTGAGTCTGTTGAGCTGTATCCTGAGGCCGGGCAAACAGGGTGGCATTGCTAGCCCCTCGGAGACTTCTCTGCCCCTGGGACATGCCCCAACCACGGCCTCCCAGCCCTGCCAAGGCAGACGTCTGGCAAGCTCCAGCCCCTGCAGGCCCCGCCTCCATCGGGGCCAGTCTCAGGTGGGCACAGCTGTGTATGCTTCTTGCAGGGGTCTCCCCAGCCAGGCCTTCGAGTACATCCGGTACAACAAAGGCATCATGGGTGAAGACACCTACCCCTACAAGGGCCAGGTAACTCTGGGCAGCCTGGGCTCCGTCTTGATCTGCAGCGCTCCCCGTCTCCATTCTTGTCCCAGCTTTGGAACACATCTCTTCCCCTGCACTCCCCTGGAGGACTCCCCACTTCCTCCTGGATTCTCAGAATTGTCTCTTGCAGCTCACTTTTTCCCCTCCTCTACTTGCCCAAGCCCCAGCTGTCAGCCAGCCGGGGGGCCTCTTACCGCCCTGTGTGTGGCAGCACCGTCAGGCTGCCCCGCCCTGCCATGAGTGCACCAGGACGCAGTCTACTGGCTTTTTCCCTCCCCGTTCGGGCGGACAGCACTCCTGGGCCCACACCCACTTTGTCCAGGGCCTCCGCTGCCATCACCTCAACCCCGCCTGTGCACGGCTGGGCACCTCGACTGTCCCACAAACCCGGGATTCCTCCTGTATCTCCCCTCTCAGCGATGGGAGGACCACCCTTCCCTAAAATGTCTTGGCAGCCAGTGGTCCGTTCTTGGGGCGGCCCCCTGACCCAGACCTAACCTCAGTCAGCCTTCTGACCATCCTAGACCTTATTGCATCTGCTCCTTTGGTCCATCCTGTGTCCCTGCCTGCACTCGGACCTTGGCTTCCCTTCACCCTAGATCACTGTGGGTGCCCTCTCCTTGCCCCACCCACTCACCCAGGGTCCGCCAGAGTGGCCTCTGAGACTCAGCTCTGACCACACCCTGCCTTGTTCAGAACTCTTCAAAGGCTCCTCCGGGTCTGCAAGAGAAACTCCAGACTCTTCGGCCTGCCTTTCGAGTCCTGCCCTCCCCCAACGTCGCGCAGATCTGTCTTCCCAGTCTTGGCTTTTATTTCACTCTCCCCTTCGTAAGCCTTCTGCTCCCACCCACCTACTTGCTGGTTCCTAAACGTCAGGTCCTGCCTTCTTGTCATCCTGACCGTCTCTCCCGCCTCAGAAGGGTTTGATCTTCCCTCTGTGTGTCCTCTGCGCCTGCCTCTTGCAGGTGAAGTTCCTTGGGCTGAGACCGGCCCCTTCCTCGTGCTCCCAGCAGGTGCCATGCGAGCCCACCTCTGCCAAAGCCAGCACAGGACCATTTCCTCCCACTAGACTGTGAGGTCCTCGAGGGCAAGGAGGCCTCTAGTTCTCTCATAAGTGACCTCATCACCCAGGCCCTGGGACCTGTAGCTTTTGCTTTATAAATGTTATCAAATTGCATAGGGGAGGCCTGAAGTCTCAGCCCGGCGCCGAGCATCCCTAACGTGCATTCCATGACCTTTGCCACCCTGAACAGGATGGTGACTGCAAGTTCCAGCCCAGTAAGGCCATTGCTTTTGTCAAGGATGTAGCCAACATCACAATGGTGAGTACCGATCCTTCTCTCGGATAGGGAATGTGTTCTGATCAGGAGGCCAGTCTCCACTGCCGTGAGATGGCCAATGGGCACTGCAGGGCAGCCTTTCCGAGGAGCACATCACTTTGATTCAGAAGTTGTGATTATCCTTGAATCTCAATCCCCATGACGGGGGCAGGATGGAAGACAGAAGGGGAAGAGCAAGAGACTAGCATTCGGGCACTCCGGTTCTGACCTGGGTCTGTACAGCTCTTCATCTTGTGTTTCAGCTTTCTTGTCTGTAAAATGAAAGCAGTAATCCCCATCCTACCAAAGAGGATGTGAGGGTGTGTGTGATATGCACAGAGTATGTGAATGCACAGACTATGAATGTGTGTCAGTCAGGATAAACCAGGTTATGCTGCAGGAACAGCTCCAAAATCTGGGTGGCTTAAAACAATCAGATTTTATGTCTCATTCGTGTGACATGTCCCTTGGTTTAAGCAGGGCTGTTCTCTGTGTCATTGGCTTCACTCCAGGACCCAGGCAGACGGAAAGAGGGGTAAATTATGCACTGGCTCTTAAAACCAAAACAAGTTACACAGCCACACCTAACCTCAAGTAGATGAGGAAGTCCATAACTTCAGTACAGTACAAACCATACTCTGTCCGAGAGGGAGCTGGAATAAGTGTGAACAGCCCTCGTGACTCCACTGTTTGCATGTTTGCAAGCATGGGCGAACATGCATAAAGAGTGAAAGAGTATTTCCACGGGTGTGTGTAGGTGTGACGTGTGCTGATGAGAGCAGTAGGCTGAGGGTGTGTGCCCACATATGTGTGCATAGATCACAAACGTGATGTCTGTGTAATGACAGTAGCTACCATTTAATTAAAGCATGTGCCACGCAGTCAGCAACAGTAATGAAATTTATGGAGTGCTGACAGGAGCTATACCAACCACTTAACATGTATTATCATGACAACCCTAGGAGATAAATGTCATTATCACCTTCATTTTATAGGTGAAGAAAGGTTCAGAGTGGTTAAGTAACATGCCCAAGGCCACAAAGCTAGAAGTGGAAGCTGGATTTGAATGGAAACCATGTCATTCCAAAATCTACACCCTGTATTTGGGATGTTTCTGACTATGGTAGATTTATCTTCAAACAAGAGCCAGTGGGCTTCCCTGGTGGTGCAGTGGTTGAGAGTCCACCTGCCAATGCAGGGGACACGGGATCGTGCCCCGGTCTGGGAAGATCCCACATGCCGCGGAGCGGCTGGGCCCGTGAGCCATGGCCACTGAGCCTGCGCGTCTGGAGCCTGTGCTCCGCAACGGGAGAGGCCACAGCAGTGAGAGGGCGTGTACCACGAAAAAAAACAAAAAACAAAACAAAAACCAAGAGCCATTTTCTCTTAGATACACTCACCAAGGGCTGACCGACTCTGGCCCATTCATATCCCATTAGGCAGTGAACCGGGAGCTCAAAGGTATCCCTTTTGCCTGGTGCCCAGGAGAGCCTTGCCCATGGCACCTGCAGGGCCCTAAGAGCAGGCCAGCACTGGCATCCGGTCCTCCTTGGCAGGGCCGAGGGATGGCCACAGGAACGGCTGGCCCCACGACATGCTCCACCTCTAGGTGAGCAGGCCTCCGTGCCTTCCTGGTCTCATCTGCCCTGACCTGTCTGTGCTCACAAGGCCTTTTCTGAGCACAGGGAAGGAAGCAGCTTGCTTATCAGACCGCCGTTTGCTCTTTGCAGCTGTGTCACTGCCTGCCCCTCCAGGGAGGTAGGACAGAGGAAGGGCTGGTGCCCCAGCCCCTCCAGCCTGACTCTCCGTCAGCAGAGCCCTGGCCTCAGCTCACCCTCATTTCAACTCCCTAAGTCTCCAGCCAGAGGAATGGCCTCCTTAGCTCACGCTAACCCAGTGGGTCCCAGCAGGGATGCTTTAAGAAATCCTGCTGCATGGGACCCACCCTGGAGATGCTGATGTAATTGTCTGGGGCGCAGCCTGGGCACTGGGATTTTGTAAAGCTCCCCCCGTGATTGCAACTGCTGCTCTCGCCCAGTCTCCGCAGCTCTGTTCCAAAGCCACAGCCTCCAGGAAGCCTCTAACTTCCTCATGCCACCTTCCCCATTGGACGGGGATGCATCCTCCTCGGGCGCACACACACACACTTCCACCACTGTCTGGGCCTTATCTGCTCATGGACTTCTAACCCCCGAGTTCTACCAAAAAAATCTCCTTAGACTGGCGTTGTGGGTGCAGGGGTTCCTGCAGGTGGGAGTGGGGGAGTCACACCCATCTCTGCACCCCCTGGAGCCCCTGGCCCATGGGAGGGCCTTGGAATGTGGCTGTGAGTGAGCGAGTGAATGAGTCCACGCTGTATACTGGGCCTGACCCGGAAGGGTGCAGGATTCCCTCGGAGCAGCGCAGGGAGGGGGAGAGAGATGAGCGCGCGGTCCAGCCCAGCAAAGCCGAGGGAGGTCACAGGGGAGCCAGGATTTGGGAGGAGGGGCCCACAAGCCAAATAGAAAACCCCAAGGATCCCGGCCATTCAGGCGCAAGAGGGCAGGGGCCCCCATACCAGCCCCCAATACCCAGGGCTTGGCTCTGCTGTAAGGAAGGGCAGCTTCCCCTTGGCGGCAGCTTTTTGACCTAAAACAGACTTCTCTTCCCTCCTCAGAATCATCGCTTTGAGCCTCTGTCCCCTACTTTGGGGCAAAGGGCCATATTTCACAAGTGGGGTGGGGAGGTGGCAGAGGCCACGTGTGTCCACCTGTCGGCCCCTCTGTCCACAGAACGACGAGGAGGCGATGGTGGAGGCGGTGGCCCTGTACAACCCTGTGAGCTTTGCCTTCGAGGTGACTGATGACTTTCTGATGTACAAAAAGGGTGTCTACTCCAGGTGAGCCGGGGAGGGGCTGGGGGGGGCATTTCACACCTTCCGCCAGTGCATCAGCCTGCAGCCCTGACGGTCAGGATCCACGGTCCCCAAGTGGGAGGTCTCGAGGCGGTCACGTGGCTGGTCAGGGCTGTGGTCCCGGTCCCCATTTGAGCCCAGAACTCACCCTTCCTCAGCAGAAGAGCTGCCTCTCGTGATGAAAACCTGTGTTCAGAAATTTGAAGATGTGAAATAGGAAATGGCTGCTCTCAGACACCAGAATCCCGTGCTGAATCCTCCACCGCAGGGTTTTTCAGGAAGCCCGAGTTCTCTTAACACTGGTGTCGTCTCACCCAGGCCTCTTGCCTGTTTTGCAATATGAGTTCGGCCACTTCCAGTAGCATCTCCTTCATGGCCTCCTGTCATCTGGCCATTCCTAAGTGCAGGTGTTCTCCAGGGCTTTCTCCTCAGCCCTCTGCCTTCTTCTCACACACTCCTTGAACTCCACGGCCAGCTGTTTGCTGGGAAATTCCAAGTCTCCATCCGCCAGCCTGGTCTCTGCCGGGCGTTAGACCCACAGATCCAAGGGCCTCGCCGCAGCATCAAGCTGGATGGCCCGTGGAAACCTGAGATCCTGCATGTTTCCGTCCCTCACCAGACGCTGCCCCATTAACACTGCTCAGAAGCGTGCTCTCCGCTCCCTCCCCGTGTCTCTGCCCACCGTTGCCTCCTTCCTGCTCTGTCCTTGTGCCCTCACCGCTGGTCCATCCTCCACTCAGAGCCAGAGGCAGCCTTCTGGAACACCCTTCTCGCCACACCAACTTCTCCATCCTCCAGCATCTCCCCACCATCCCGTGTCTTAGCTCAGCCGGGGAAACCCTCGTGATCTGGTCCTTCTTTCTCCAAGCTCATCTCCCGTCAAAGCCACCCGCGTCCTCCCTGTTCCACCCCGTGCCCCTGCCCCACTGAAGAGCTCATAGTTTTATGCGGGTCCCCTGCCTCCCCAGGGAAGCCTTGCCCCTGCCCCACCCCGTTCCCACCTGGTTGGATCCCCTCCCTCGGGCTCCTGTCAGCCCCCCAGCCGTCACAGCCCTCGGTCCACTGTATGGAAGTAGCCTCTCTGCCATCCTCCCTGCCGAAGGAGGCGTCCTAAATCCAGGAGCGGAGTTTTGCACGCTGCTGGTGTCTCGCACCTCGTCCCCGGGCCTGGCACATACCAACAACTCAGTTACACTTCGGCTCAGTGGTCACACGACCACTGCAGTTTGTCCTCTCGAAATTTTCAGAATTTCCTCATGAGAATTAGTTCGCTAGCTAAAATGAGAACCCTGTGTAATTGTCCCAAATACAAGGTAATCTTAAAATTACATACAGTGGCAACAAAGCAATGCCACGTGAAACTCCAGCCGGACACTGTTGCCCTCAGAAGGTGCAGCAGGCGGGCTGCTCTCTCCTTGTTATGCAAGAGGCATCGGAAAGCGTCAGGTGTCAGAGCTGGGCCAGCACCACGCTAAATCTCACTCCTTTGGGTGAGAAGAACCCAAGGGGCTGAAGAGAATACTTTTCTTTCCCTGTGACTAAACGAGAGTTAATTCACCACCTTAAATGCCTCCCAGTCCCTGCTTTGAGAAACCTTGCTCTAATTCACTTGTTGGATGTGATTGAATCACCTTTTTCTTTGGCTGTGCTGCACGGCAGGCCGGATCTTAGTTCCCCTACCAGGGATCCAACCCACGTCCCCTGCAGTGGAAGCACAGAGTCCTAACCCCTGGACCGCCACAGAAGCCCCACATATTTTCCATATTTTCAAGCCTCTTTCATTTTCATTTTCCAGTACTTCCTGTCATAAAACTCCAGATAAAGTAAACCACGCAGTCCTGGCTGTTGGGTATGGAGAAGAAAATGGGATACCCTATTGGATTGTGAAGAACTCTTGGGGTCCCCAGTGGGGAATGAAGGGGTAAGCAGCTTCCAGGTCCCATGTGCTGGGAGGGGGCGTGATTGCTCAGGTCTGGGGGCCCTCAGGGTGTGAAGATGTAACCCTCACACCCCCAAGAAGCCTCCAGAAGCCCCTCTCCCATCCTGGACCCCGGACTTTGATGACTCTGTGTCTGGAACAGGAGTCCATTTGGCTCAGGAGGTTCTATGACCACCACTAGGGAACAGTTCACAACACAGGATCCTGCTGGGACTAAGCCAGCGTCTGGGAGGGCCTGTGGGAGAGAAATCCAAGCACCAAGTTTACCCGATGGCTGACAGCCCCTCCTTCTAGAATGGGGCTGGAATCAGGTGGCCTGGGTACATACCTTGATGGGACTTTGTCCCTGTCTCTTCTCTCAGACTCCGTGTCCTCATCTGAAAAGGGGGTTTTCATCTGTCACCCGAGGGGTCCCAGTGGTGATTAAATAACTACGTGAGGGCCTAGGCAGGGCTAAGAACGGGGCCCTCAGCAAACTCTGGGACAAGTGAGGTATGGACAGAATAAGGAAGAGTTCAGGGTGCAGCCAGGTGGAGGGAAGGAGAAGTTACTCACAGGTCAGAGATTTCCTGGTGGTCAGATAAACCCAGTACTGCTGTTTGGTGAGTAAGTTCAGAGGGCCTGATCCCTGGAGTCAGACCTTGGTTCCAGAAGGGCCTGTGGAGAGGAAGCCGCCAGCCAGGCCTCAGCCCCTCCCTCTGTGCAGGTACTTCCTCATGGAGCGCGGGAAGAACATGTGCGGCCTGGCAGCCTGCGCCTCCTACCCCATCCCCCTGGTGTGAGCCGGGGCGGCGGCAGCAGCAGCAGTGACTGGTTGGTGGATGGAGGAAGGACCGGGCAGCCTGGGGCCTAAAACCCTGCCCTGGAGGAAGTGAGCAGTGGGAGACCCCCCCCCCCCCCCAGGGCCCCGAGCCGGGAACCCCAAAGAAAACACCGAGAA